ACAAGGCAGAGGAGAGAGAATCAACATCAAAACATACCTACTTTCTCCAATCTTTTTACCAATTTTTACATCAGCCATCCCTCCTATAGTACTCTCTACTACTCTTCTGGGTTCAGTAATTTAATGCATTGGCCACACAGAACTCACAGACCATACTTACAGTTATGAGGTTAATTACAGAAGTAACAATTTACAATTCAGGATAAAGAAGACTCAGGATACAGTTCTTTGATCAGGACAGCTTCTTCAGCTATGTTTGTACCTGGACTCTTGCCCTTGGCCTGACCTCTACCTCTTTGCATGGGCCCTTATGCTCAGCCTGGGGAAGGTGTTACAAAGCTCTTCAGCTCTTCCAGTAAGTGCCCAGAGGCATGCCATTCTACTAATAAGCGTCGGCCTGAAGGCGCTCAGCTCTCTTGCTCCATGAGTAGGCACACCCACAGTAGCCACCTCGCTCCATGGGCTGGGAAGCCCACTGCAATATCTTGTTCTGGTCTCATGGTTCTTCTGTTGTCACTTCTGACCATCTCCCACCATCTCTTGTGTTACAACTCTCTCTGCCTCCTGAGTCTAGAAGGTTCTCAGTACAGGGACCTTGGGACCGAAGGATGTGTTCCACTCTGGGCTCTTCTTCTTGGTGGTAGTGAGGTCATCAGCTTCTGGGATTGGCTCCCATTACACCTAGCTGAGTGGCAAAACTGACTAGTCCCCTCATTAGGGGTCCATATACTTTACTTGCATAGTCTCACCCCCCACAAGAAGGATGGTAAGACTTTGCCTCTTATACTTCAGTCATGTTATCAGAAGGGACCAGTCCCTGGAGCAGGATATCATGCTTAGAAGGTAGGAGCTCTGATAGCGTAGTGCCTAAGGCATTTGACTGCTAACCAGAAGGCTGGCAGTTCAAACCCACCAGCCAGTCCTCGGAAGGAAAATGGGACAGTCTGCTTCCATAGTGATACTGCCTCGGAAACCCAAGGAGGGTTTGCTATGAGTCGGGTCTGCCTTGACGTCACATAACAACAACAACAACAGAGTAGAAGGTCAGCAAAAAAGAGGAAGATCCTCAACAAGATGGATTAACACAGTGGCTGCAACAGTGGGCTCAAGCACAGCAGTGATTGTGAGGAGGTGCAGGCCGAGCAGTGTTCTGTTCTCTTGTACATGGAATCGCTGGGAATTGGAACTTACTTGATGGCACCTAACAACAACCCCCACAAGGGTTCCAGGCACCTTATTTGCTTTATTAGCTAGCTGTCCAGTCCCCTTGGTGGGCCACCAGCATCTTTCTTGCATAGTCTAAGCCAGTCATTCTGTAAGAGTCACAAAGACTATGGCTAGAAGTGCCATGTTAAGTATTTCATTGCACTTCAATTGCTATTCTCTATCTTTTGCAACCAGAATCTAAACATTATAACAGTTAAAATTCACCAAAATGCCATATAAAAACAACTAGAACCAAACAAAAGTAATGGGTAAATGCAAATGAAAAGTGGAAAAGAATAACACATCACAGAAAGAGCTAATGTACTTAAGTGCAAGTAGTTCTTAAAATTTATAAGAAAAAACTATTTCCCAAATCACAATAAAAAGCTGAAAAAAAATTTCATGAGAAAGACTCTGGCAGAGTGGGAGAAAAACGTGCAGTAGAACTGAAATTCTTAAAAAGTCCAGACTTACTGGGCCAATTGAGACTACACGACTCCCTGAGACTATTGCCCTCAGATCCCCTTTAAACCTCGAACCAAAATTATCCCCTGAGGTCATCTTTTAGTGAAATAACAGATTGGCACATAAAATAAAGATATTATTACCCATGGGTACGGTGCTTCATTAAATAAAACATCTATATGATACCAAGAAGTCAACAGTTCCTCTAAAGCAAAGATGAGAAGCGGCAAGGAAACTAGACCACTGAAAATGAAAGAACCAGGACACCAGTAAAGAGAATGTTGGCACATTATAAACAATGTAACTGAGTCACTGAACAGTTTTGCATAGACATTGTTAAGTAGGACCTAATTTGCTGTGTAAACTTTCACTGAAAACATACAAAATATTTTTTTAAAAATAAAAATGTAGCAGCAAAAATTTAATAAGAGAAAAACAGACATCCCCTGAGAAAACTGGGAAAACATGATAGTCCTCAAAGATTTCTAATGAAAAATATATATTTTTATTAGTAGTATAAGCAATTAAAATAATAAACTCGTTTTTAAATATTAAATTAGCAAAATAAAAGGAGTGATACTATCTGGAGTGATGCGGCAGCAGGAAACACGTTGGCTCATTGCTGGTGGGATTGTGTGTACAGCCATTATGGAGGGCAAGTGGGAAATCTGTGTCCAAGTCTTAGAAATATGTGTATATTTTGCCTCAGAAATTCAATTGTTAGGAATTTATTCTAAGGTCAGAATTAAGAATATACATAAAGATGTGCCAAAAGATTGTTCACCATAGTGTTAAATACAATAAAAATAAGCAACAGCCTAATTGTCCAATGAAATCCCTAGAAAATGCAAACAAATGGTTAATGTACTCGGCTGCTAATCAGAAGGTTAGAGTTTCATATCCATGCCTCAGAGGAAAAGTCTGGCAATCTACTTACAAAAAATCAGCCATTGAAGATCATATGAACTATGGAACCCAGCTATGGTACCTAGTATAAAACTCAGCCACAGAGATTAGCCACGGAACCCAGCCATGAAACTGAGTCATGGACCTTAGCTTTGGAAACCAGTTATGGAACTCAGTCTTGGAGCCCAGCCACAGATCCTAGACACAGAACCCAACCACAGAACTCAGCCACTACTTGCACTAAAGGAAAGCAATCCTGTAGCTCTCCAGGTGGCTCTTTTTTAAATAAAGGTTTCCTAGACTGACCAAAAAAAAAAAAAAAACCAGTCCTGTGGAGCACAGTTCTACTCAGATACAAGATACAAGAGGTCACTATGAGTCAGAATTGACTCCATGGTAACTGATGACTAGTTAGTTGCCCTACAATAAAAAAATTGGATCAATAAATTATATGTTCATACAATGGGGTGCTGTGGAGACATGAAACATAGTTTGCGTATCTGTCCATTATCTATTGACATGATATACTCAGTGAAAAAAAGCTAGCTATCAGTTAGTGCTCGTAATTCAGCTATATTCCTATAAATAAGAAAAAGAGTACTCTGTATTTGTATAGGATAAACAAACTACACAAGAAAATTGTAGTAGTAGCAGTTGGGGATGATTTAATTTTTTAATTTTGATTTATCTATTTGTAAATTTTCTGAAATAAATTTTATCAATAAAAGGGAGAAAAGTATATATTATAATTACACTTTGGTAAACTTCATATAATCTGAAAATAATATATATGCATAGAAAAAACTCCTGAAAGATGTATACTGTAGTTTTCAATGTAGTTTACATATAAATAGCACTACCATGAATGATTTTTATTTTCTTTTCAAGAATATTCATATTTTCTAAGTTTTAACAAATGACAAGTATTGCCAGGGTAATCTAAAAAAAATTATAAAGTGAAAAAAATTTATACATGGCAGCCAGTAAACCTGTAAAGTATCATACCTTCATCTCCCAGCTCTAGTGTTGGGACCGTGAGGCTGGGTTGCAGGGCCATCCATCATATAGCATAGGGGCCTGAGGAGACAGTACTGCCCATGTTTTGGGAAATTAGAGAGGTACCAAGGGTACCAAGGGTATTTCACTGTAATTTTTCAACAGCTGCTTCTGCTATGAAAGTACATGGAGAATAAGGACAACAGGTAGAGAAGAATTAGGGTGATTAACAGACATCCCCATCCCCAATTCGAATAACTGTTAATTCGTTTTCAATGTGATTCTTACATGAGGAGTTTAAAAATTGCATCTAGAGTAGCTACTGGGATCTTAAAAGTTTGCAAGCAGCCATCTAGATGCAACGATGGTTTTCTCCTCATCCAGAGCAAAGAAGAATGAAGAAAACCAAAGATTCATGGAAACAATTAGTCCTGGTGACTGGTACACCATGTGATCTGCAGCCTATACAACTTGAGACCAGAAGAACTAGATGGTGCCTGGCTACCACTGTCAACCACTC